CGTAGATGTGATTGAGAGAGAGAGAGGAGCACGGATCATCGCCGATTGATCACGGAGTCAAGGCGTAGAGATCTCTTTCACCTTGAGAGAAAACGAGATCGGCGGAGGACTCGAGAGAAACACAAATGAAATGTTTTTTCTGAGAGAGGGAGAAATGAAGCACCGCTTGCTGAAAGGCCAACACGTGGCAGGAAGCAGTGCTGCTTCTGGTGGTTCATCAAGCGTCGAAGCTTCCTTAATTACTGAGTTTTCTTTTTTTTTTTTATTTCTAAAAATGCTAAGATGTACCTCCCCCTATCTTTTTCTGGATGTACCTCCCCCTACGTCTTTCTCCCATGAATGGAAAGGCATCATTTGTGGTAGAGACCTACTGAAAAGGAACCTGTACAAAGTCATTGGAGATGGGTTGAATACAAGAGTGTGGAAAGATTCTTGGACTTCTCTTTCTGACAATATCAAACCGTTTGGGCGAGTGACAGAAATGCAAATAATATGACATTATCAGAGCTTATTACAACGGATTACAAATGGAATGAGAAACGCCTTGAGGGGATTTTACATCATTTTGTTCCCCAGATTTGATGCTGGAACCAAGCCAAAGAGGAGCTGAGGACCAGTATCTATGGCTTCCTACTACTACTGGTTCTTATTCTGCGAAGTCAGGTTATCACACACTTATGGCAGCAACTGAAACAGAAAGTAGATACTGGCTCCATTGCAGACCCTTCATCTGAATTTGATTGGATTAGAGATGTTTGGGCAGGACACTTCTCACCAAAACCTAAAGTCTTTATCTGGCCAATCATGAAAAATACCTAACCATTAGGAGTAAATCTAAAAAAATGTGGAATCATGGCTGAAATTAATTGCACAAGATGTGGTGAAGAGGAAACTCCATCTCACATCTTTTTTGATTGCCCTTTTTCTCAAAACGTGTGGTAAGTTGTTCCTTTGGCTTCAACAGTTCACCTAGCTGGCCAGCAAGATTTTGCTGCAATATTGGTACAATTCATGAAGATTGTCTATCTCCTCCCCCCTCCCCCACCTCTGGTGTAGCATATAACATTCTCCCATGAGTTTGTTGGGCCATTTGAAACGTCAGAAGCCAATATATATATTAGAGGCTTAAATATTTTATCTATAGAACTCAAATTCGGGTTCTGGAAAATAAGCAAAAGCATCTTAACCGCTAAACAAAACAACTTTCTCGTATATAAACATTAAGTTATATACGCGTTTTAGTTTTATCAAATAAATCTTATCAAATTTTTATTGTTTTAGTCTTATCAAATAAATTTATTAATAAGTTAATTACTAGTTACTATTAATTTAAATAATAACTTTATGATATTAGTAAAAAACAAAAAAAAAATGTAGTAAACTAAAATATGTTAGTAAATTAAAATGAAATAATTGAAGATATAAAAATTTAATGTTACACATACAAAACAGAAACTAGTCACTTAGTGGTGACCCAACAAAATACAACTTATCTAGTGAAAATAAAATCTAGCAAACCCAATAACCGAAAGGAACACAACACCTAGCCACAAATACCTCAAAACAACCGACAGTAACCGAGTAGCAGAGCTCATTGTACACGTTATAACTGATAAAGGTTTTCCTGAAGAAGTTCCACTACAGTCTCCTTCAATAACGACATGGTTTGGTTCCTCGTACACCAAACTTAAACCACAATTCACAATCTCACCTGCTCCATCTATCACTTTGAATTTTATTGACGCCTCCGTAGGACCACATTTCTGATGTTCTCCCGAACCTTCTACATGATTAGTTATGTGTGAGCAACTCGTGTAACCGATAAACACATGGTCTGAATCAATCTTGCGCGGTTCAATCCAACCTCCACCAAGAATGCAACTGAAACGTGTACATATTCCAAGTTCGTTTGTAAACTCACAAGTGCATTCTATTGAGAAACTGTTGCTTTGAACGTGAGGGAATGCAACAACAGCGCATAGAACTATTGTTGAAAGTCTGTTGTCACACCAATGTGGTGGAAACTTCAGATTCAACGTTGAACCAATCATGCGATGGTTAAACCACGAAGGTACTTCGCTTCCTGGAAAGGAAGTGATGAGCAAAGCTTGTGAAACACTTCCCTGCAAAAGTAACACAAAAAAAAACTCACCAACTGTTAAAGAAAACTCAATTAAAAAAAGTAAGGAGTAAGACCTCTTTATAGGATCTAAGCGCATCTAGCTGGCTTTTCCTCTGTGCGTATGATGTGATGCTATTTTTTGCAGCTTGTTCTAGATTGTTGCAATTGATGAAAATGAATTTAGAGTGAACCTGCTCCATAAGCTTAATCCGTGCCATGGGGGACGCGACTGTTTTTAATCTCTCGCAGCCATATGCATCTAGAATCTCTAGATTTGGAGGAAGTACTGGAATTGATGTGAGATTTTTGCAGTACTTCAGGTCAAGCAATTTCAAATGATATAGTTGACTGATGTCAGTATGCAGATTGCTGATCATATCGTTCCTGCTCAAGCATAGACGCTGCAATGAGGATAGGCTGTTCATACCACGTCTCAGTTCAGGCAAATCTTCCACTTTTGAGGTATTCAACTGCAATATCTTCGGCATGTCTGTAATTGATGTCCCATCGAGCAATAAAATCTGCAAGCATTTCATGTTTTTGATAAGAACTGGAAAAGTCTTGAGCTTTGAACAACCAGATAGCACCAGTTCTTGCAGAGCTTTCAGCTTCCCCAAGCATTCTGGAAATGCCACCAACCTTTTGCAGTCAACTAGTAAAAGTAGTAATAAATGAATTGATTTATTTTTTGTCACTAATAAAAGTAACTTAAAGACACACCTTAACAACATCCAAGACCCCTTCAATCTCGCTGTAAAGGCAGGTTAAGGTCGGTAAGATTCTTAAAGTTGAAGTCTTCTGGAAGGTTCTTAAAAAGAAATTTCAGCAAGTAGAGATACGGTATCTCATCTAGCGGAGCCCATCCGATCCGGGAAGTTAAGTTTGCAGTCACTTTTGCATTCCCGATGACAGTGAGAACTATAGATTTTCAGATATCTAAGATTACGCATCTTACTGAAGGTACACATGTCCAAAGGAAGTTGCTTCTCCATTTCAGACATGTCAAGAAAAATTCCCCTCACTTTTTCGTCTCCCTGCTTGACCAGTTGAAGACAACAAGTTAGTAAGTTGGAAGTTTCTTAAACAGTCAAGTCCTAAGTGTGCTTCTAGTTTATCATGAAAATAAGAACTTCAAACAGTTGCAAGGTCTATCTTACTGACAAATCTCTTATATAAAACAAAAAAAAAAAATTTATGAAAAAATAGCAGGAAACAGATCCCTAAAATACCATCAATTAAAGAGTAAAAGGATTAATTACTCCAAACCCTAAATTCTTACAATAATTTCATCTCTGAAATATTAAAACCCAAATTCTAATCAATAATTTCAAACCTAAATATAATAATAAAGATATCTTTTTATATTATTTATTAATACTATCTTAGAAAATTTTATTCTTGTATATTATTTTAAAAATAAAAATATGTTTTAACGCTATCATAGAATATTCTTTAATCTTTTAGAGATGTATTCTTTAGAGCATCATGGTCTTTATGGTTCAACAGTCTACATGATCCTTGGCAAGCAAGTTCCTTGCCAAATGTATACAGCTAATCGTGCATCTCTACTCAGTCCACCAGAAATGCTAATCAAAATTTTACTGGCAAGATCCTTAGATCAGACTTCACCAAACACCTCGCTTATTACTCATCTCTTGATCTAAAGAAACATGCAACATCAAGAAAACATATTTTTGATGCAGCTTAGCTCATCATAGCTTATGTGCAAGAAATCTTGTATTGTCTTACCGGAACTTTGCGCCAGCTTGCAAAGTGTCTCTTTCCAGTGAGCCCTGTCTTTTCCTTTAAGCCCTCGCCTCTCCAACCAATATCTTGAGAGAGCAAATAGGCTGGCTGCCTTTGGCATAATCCGAAAATTCTTTGCAAAGATTCATGAATTTTCCCACTGGATTAGAAGATGTTAACTGGTGTGAAAAAGCTCAAGTCACAAATTCCACTATATAAAGTTTATACTTTACATATACAAAACAGTAATTAGTCATTTAGTGATGACCAAAAAAATACAATTTATTTAGTGAAAAAAAAAAACTAGCAAACCTATAAACCGAAAAGAATAAAACACACAAACACGTCAAAACAGCGAACAAAAAGCGAGAAGCAGAGTACACTACACTCTCTCCGACTGAAGAAGTTCTATTACTGTCTCCTTCAATAACGACATGCTTTGGTTCCTCGTACACAAAACTTAGACCACAATTTACAATCTCACCTGCTCCCTCTATCACTTCGAACTCGATTGACGCCTTCGTAGGAACACATCTCTGATGTTCTCGCGAACCTTGTACATGATTTTTAACGTGGGAGCAACATGCATAACCGATAAAAACATGGTCTGAATCGATCACGCGCGGTTCAGTCCAACCTCCACCAAGAATGCAGCTGAAACTTGTACATGTCCCAAGTTCGTTTGTGAACTTACAAGTGCACTTTATTGAGAAACGTTCTTGAGTATTCGGGAACGCAACAACAGCGCACAGAGCTATTGTCGAAAGATTGTTGTCACACCAATGTGGCGGAGTCAGATTTAATGAGCGTCCGACTTCGCGATGGTTAAACCAAGAAGGTACTTCGCTCCCTGGAAAGGAAGTGATGAATAAAGCTTCTGAAGCACTTCCCTGGAAAAGTAACAAAAAATAAAATCATCAAGTGTTAAAGAGAATTTGATTAAAAAAAGTTAGGAATGAGACCTCTTTATAGAATCTAAGCGCATCAAGCTGGATTTTCCTTTGTGCGTATGATGTGATGCTATTTTTTGAAGCTTGTTCCAGATTGTTGCAGTTGATGAAAATGAATTTAGAGTGAACCTTCTCCATAAGCTTAATACGTGCCAAGGGGGACGCGACTGTTTTCAATTTCTCGCAGCCATATGCATCTAGAATCTCTAGATTTGGCGGAAGTAATGAAATGGATGCGAGATTTTTGCAGTCTTTCAGGTCGAGCAATTTCAGATGACATAGTAGACTCATGTCGATTACCAAGTTGGTGATCTTATCATTCTTGCTTAAGCATAGACGTTGCAATGAGGACAGACCGTTCATACCACGTCTTAAGCCAGGTAAATCTTCCACTTTTGAGCTATTGAACTGCAATATTTTAGACATGTCTGTAATTGATGTCCCGTCAAGCAACAATATCTGCAAGCATTTCATGTTTTCAATAGGAACAGGAAAAGACTTGAGCTTTGAACAACCAGATAGCACCAGTTCTTCCAGAGCTTTCAGCTTTCCCAGGCATTCTGGAACTGCCACCAAAGTTGTGCAGTTTTTCAAGTTCAATACAATCAGTCTTTGCAGCTTCACCATGTCTTCAGGAAGTTGACCAATGGCAGTTCCATCTAAGTGTAAATTTTCTAAATTATTCGAAATCACCTTGAAAGTCTGAAGACTTGAGCAGTTGGTGAGAATAAGAGTTTTCATAGTGATCAGATTGATATTTGGGAGAACCCGGAGACTCGTGCAACCTCTCATGTTGAGGAAAACAAGACTTTGCATACGATTCATCTCACCAGGCAACTCCTCCAAACTCGTGCAGCCTTCAAGATTCAACTTTTCGAGTCTCTCGGCATTTTGTAGCCCTGACAACTTGCATAACTTTCTTGAGTGGCTAAGATCAACCCACCTTAACTTTGGTGTATCCTGCAATTAAGAGTAAAGCAATTTTTAATCGAGTAAGCTAATGAAACCATAGGTGGAACCTAACTTAAACAGAGACACACCTTAAGACCCTCCCAGAGCTCTCTAATCTCGCTATAAGGCAGGTTGAGATCGATAAGATTCTTGGGGTTGAAGTCTTCTGGAAGTTTCTTCAAATGGAATTTCAGCCAATAGAAATATCGTAATTTATCTAACGGTAATTCAAGTTCGGCAGGGACTCTTAGTTTGCAGTCAGCTTCGCATTCCCCATGGCAATAAGAATTATAAATTTTGAGGTACCTAAGATTACGCATCCGGCTTAAGGTAAATTTTTTGAAAGCAAGTCTCGTCTTCAGTTTAGACATGTCGAGAAAAACACCTCTCACATTCTCTGCTACCTGCTTTACCAAGTTAAAGACAATTAAATAGGTCAGCAAGCAAGTAGAAGCTTGTTATCATGAAAATAGAAAATCAGATTAAGAGGTCAGAGGTTAAATCTTACTTTCGTATTAACAACGTCGTTATGGTTCCAGAGCCTACGCGACATTTGTGAACCAAGTTCCTTGCCAAACGTATACAGTAGATCATGCATCTCCACTCGTCCGCCAGAAATGTTTATAAAAAATTTACTGGCAAGATCGTCTATCCCACTCACAGCATCAGTGTCACAAGATTCCACCAAACACCTCACGTAAGACTCATCCCCTGATCTAAAGAAACACGCAGCATCAAGAAACACATCTTTTTGATGCGGACTTAGCTCATCATAGCTTATCTGCAAGAAATCTTGTATGGCCTTAGTAGGACTTTGTTCCAGCTTGGAAACTGTATCTTCCCAGTGATTCTCGTCTTTTCCTTTAAGGTCAACACCCAATATCTTGAGAGCGAATGGGTTGCCTTTGGCATAATCCACAAACAATCTAGAAAGCTCCAAGAAGTTACCCTCGGGAGTATGGTCCTTACTACCAAAGGCAAAATAGTTGAAGTACTGGAAGCTGTCTTTGCGACTTAGTCTGAGAACCTCGTAGGTGTCATCAACTATCCCCTCGATCACAGACATGTCACTAGTCGTGATAATGATTCTGCTACCACTCTTAACCCAGTCACGTTCCCCGAGAAGGGCCTCTATCTGTTTCTTGTCACTTACATTATCCAGAACAACAAGAGACTTCGTACTGAGTAGGAGTGTCTTGACTGCTTCAGGCGAGAGGTCAGCGAATTCTAGGTTGCGATCATTGGCCTCGCTGCCACCACTATTCAATAGCTCCTTCATTAAAAATTTTCGATGATCCATGGTGCTGCCTCTCCAGCTTCCACGGACATCATGAAGAAAAACATGGCGCTGGAAATACCCTTGCTTCTCTTCATACAGCTTACTCGCCAGGGTGGTCTTACCCATACCAGGCATCCCAACAACACCAATCGTACGTGTCATCTCGCATTCACTTTCGAAATCTAACATCTCTTCCAATTGTTGGAGCCGTGTGTCCATGTCAAACAGAGGAGCTTCGCGCGTTTCTTCGTCTCCTGCAATGGGAGCTTCAGGCGTTTTCTCGTCGGGGATTTTCTTTTCTTTAAGCACTTTAATGACCTCTTGTACAATTTTCTCAACAAAGTCAGCTTCAACGCTGCAAACAAACAAACAAACAAAGAGACAAACAAATCAGAAACCGAACGAAGTTACGTCACTTGGCGATTCAAGATTAGGTACCTCTTTTCGTCTAACTTAATGCCTGCTAATTGTGCAACATCCTCCAAAGCTTTTTTCCACTTAAATAAATTTTCAACATTGCCATCCCTACCCACTAATTCCATAAACACTTCACCGAAAGCTCCCTTTTGATTTTTGACATCGCTAGGCTCCACCTTGTAGAAGATGGGGATGACAACAAGTTTGCCTGAGAGTAAGCACTCATGGATCTTCTTCAGCTCTTTCAAGCACCAGTCTGAATTCGCATACAAGCTCGAGAAGATGGCGAGCGCGATCCTCGACTCCTCGATTTTCGTGAGAAGAGTTTCCAGTTGATCACCTCTGTTTAGGTCTTCGTCTATAAAGGCATTGATATCATTTCTTTGCAACGCTTTATAGAGATGGCTGACGAATTTTGTTCGCAGTTCTTCCCCTCGAAAATTGATGAAGACTTGATGCTTCGGCAGTGATGGGACGGAGGAAGGGATGGAGGAGGAGTAGGAGGGGTTGGAGGAAGAAGAAGCCATGGGTGATGTGTTGAGACTGAAAGACTTAGATTTTTAGGATTTTTGAGCTGAGGAATGTGGACGTTGATAAATGGTGGAAAGTTTCCTCATTAGCCAGTGGATAATGGAACTCTAGCGAGTGGATGATAATGGAACTATGCCCCAGAATGATTTTTTTGGTCGGGCGCCCCAAAATGATTTGTTTGTATGTTATCACTCACAACAGACTTATCTGAAAGTAAACTTAACCCAAAGTATTTTGTATTAAAAATATCCCCTATACATTATTTGTGAAGTGTTTTTGACACATGTTCTCTCTAGAATCAGTTTCACAAAAAAAATGATGACATATCTACTAAAATTGATGACATGACATATGATTAAATATGACATGGACCATTGCATTTAACGTATATATTTTTGGAAAACTTTATAGAATATGGTAACAACTCATATATTACATTTAATGTCGATTTATATTTTTGGAAATATTTTGAAAATATGGTAATAACTAATAAATCATCATTAAAATAAATATATACCAATATGGCATTACAATTTTCGAAAATATCGTTTAATTATATATTTTAAAACTATACAATTTTACTAAAATTTTTTTAAAAATGTATACATTTTTTGAAAATTATTAAAATTTAATCCTAAAATTATTAATTTCTTATATATTTAAAAATGTAATAAATATTGTCTAATTTTAATTTTTGATAATTATATTTTTTTTTACAAATTTATTTAATATATTTAATTAAAATAAATAGATAAAAAAATTATCTGAGATTAGAATTTTAAATATATACATGCATATTCTTAAATATAATTTAAAATCAAAAAATTATTTTATATTACTTTTTATGTTTGATTAAACAAAAACTTCTATTAAAATAGTGATAAAAAAAGAACTCATAAATTAGCATTAAGATAATAAATAATATAATAGTAGAAATATAAATATAATAATATTACAAATATTGAAATATTTTAAGTGTATTTTTTAATTATATATTTTTTATTAATAAATCTTCTTTTTCAAAATTTTATGCAGTATTTTTTAAAATTAAAATTTTCTAATCCCAATACCATTAGCTTTATTTATAACATCTATAAATTTTAGAAATATTATTTAGTTTTATATTTTGATAATTATATATCTAACAAAATTTTCTCTTAATAGTATAGAATTTGATTTCATATAATTTAACCAAAAGATAAAAGATACATATATATTATTAAATATAAATTTAAGAAATTTTTTTAAGATAGACCTAAAGAAAGTTTTAATCACAAATATAGACCTTAAAGTAAAAATAACCAAGATAGACTTAAATGTTTTATCAAAAATAAATAAATATATACTTTTATCCTTTGGGTTAACTAATCGTAAACTTTTTTGTTTAAAGTTGAGGAGTGGGGTTTTGGGGATAGGATTACAAATTTTTTTTAAAAAAAATTGAAATTTTCAAAATAAAAATGTTGTTTTGGTCATTTTAGTTTTAAGATTTATTTTTGTGAAAAAACCTAAAAAGTTCCATTTGAGAGAACTATCATATATTTAAATAAAACTATTTATTTTCTCTTAATTTTTACATATAATTAATGAAAAATTACTAATGTAATAAAATAATAAATTTAAAAATTAATTAAATTTTAGTTTTAAATATAAATTTATTTTTAAAACTTTTCTTTCTGCACATGGTGCAGGAAGCCACCTAGTTTACTATAAATATAATTTTTATCTCACTATATCAAAAAAATTATACATTTTTTTCTTCTCAAATGACTACTGCAACAAAAATATCATATTTTTCACTCTAGAACTTTTCAACCCCTCTCTAATCTCTTTGAACTTAAAAACACAAAATTTTATATCAAGTTCTCAACTTTTCTCACAAATTTATCTTGTTTTTGAGGTCATTACATAATTCTTATCTTTCACTCATTTAAACACAAATCTATAAATTTTAGATATATATTTTTGTGTGTTTTATATGTTAGATTCTAAAAATGTGTATATTCAACTGAACGATTTATTATTTTGAAGTTTTTCTCTGTTTTGATGTCATTTGAACGTTTTTGGATATGAAAGTTTTTTTCAGATCTGAATCAACTTTGGAAATCTTCTAATGCATTTATGCTAGAATATTTCCCTGAAATACTATTTTAGGGGTCTTTTTTTTTTTTGATCAAGGAAAACATTGCATTGCTTAAAGGAGGCTAGCCCCCTAACACATCGTTTGTTACATGCATAGTGAGAGCCGACTTTGCCACCAAGTCAACCTCGGAATTGAAATTACGAAAAATAAACTGAAAGGAAATTACATCGAAGAGTGAGATAAAGTGATAGATATCAAACATGATACCGAATAGTTCAGGTTGAAACTTCCTCGTCTTTATCAAGTTGATTAGAGAGAGAGAATCGGATAGAACGACCAGGGATCGGACGTTTGAAAAAACGGCCAGAGAGACCGCACGATGGACAGCAATGGCTTCTGCCATTAAAGCTGATGAAACACGGCTGAAAGACTCAGCTATAGTGGGGAGGGGCCGCTCCCTCCACGCCTGTGAAAATACCTCCTATCCCGCAGCGCCCAGTGTTTGCATCCCAAGCCGCGTCTACTTGACACAGCAAGCTCCCCGGGGAGGTCATCGGAGGAGGAAAAATAGCACGCTGGTTGGGTCTAAGAGGAGGTAATAGAGACGAAGCTGCTGTGTTGGTTGTTGGTTGAGCATCATTCCATTCCTTTGCATCGGTAATGCTCTTGAGCGCTATCTCTTGTGCTGTGAATGCTTTATTCTCAAAGACAAGTTTGTTCCTGGATTTCCACAAACTCCATAGAACCCAAGGCCAAATCGGAGCATTAAGGCCCACCGGTGGGAGTGGAGTAAAGACCTTCCCCTGTTTAATCAATTCCGATATCGATAGGATCACACTTGTTGGTACTTCGGTAATAGGAATTAGACTCCACACTTCCACAGACAAGGGGCAAGTGAGAAAGAGATGAAGGTCTTCTTCATGAGCACCGCACTTCTTGCAGTTAAATCGTGGAAACCCTCTCCGCTCGAGGTTGGAGCTAACCGGGATTGCTTTCTTCACCACTCTCCATAGAAAATCTTTTAACTTTGGACTGGTTTTGATGTTCCAGATGTTTTGTAACCAGTTAACAGGCTCCCTCTTAGAGTTCAAAATCCTAGTAGATGTCATTCCAATGCCATAACCAGTCTTTGTAGAGTAAGACCCTGATTTTTCCGGCAGCCAAATCGGAGTATCCGGTGCAACAACAATACTTGTTTTGATACTCAAAATCGCATCCTCATACTGAGGGAGAATTTTTCTTATTTTTGCAAGATCCCATTTGTTGGAGAGGGGACAGAGAAGATCGCTGATCTTTAAATATGAGAACTCAAGAGGTGGTGGTCCTATTGGAACAGTAGGAGTCGTAAATGAGAGCCATGGATCGCTCCAGATTTTAATGTTGTCTCCATTACCTACTGCCCAACTAAGTCCCTTTCCAAGAATATCTCTGCCAGCAAGGACGCTACGCCAACCATGTGATGGTGATGAGGGAATAGAGCATTCCATATAGCATTCTAGGGGTCTTCTAAACCTAAAATACCTGACATAATTGAAATTTCTCTCCTCATATGAAGTAAATTTGCGCATGCCTCTCTTTCTCTCAAATGGCTGCAACAAAAGTGTAATGTTTTTCACGAAAACTCTCCATTGTCTTTGAACTTGAAAACACCAAACTTTAAATCAATTTCTCCATTTTCCTTATGTCTTTCTCACTAACTTATCTGATTTTTTTTGCAGATTTCTCATTACATGGTTCTCTTCTATTGGGTCAAATACATGGTTCTCATCTTTCACTCCTTTAAAAATAAATTTATATATTTATATAAGCATGGAAATATCTCACCTAAGTGGAGTCCAGGCGGATCTATGTCTAGGAATGATCAGAAGCTCCATGTTCAATATTTTTGTATGGTATGTTTTATGATTGCTATGTGTACTCTTATAGTTGTGAATTATTTTGTAAACTTGAAGAGATGTTAATGAAAATAATTTGATAGATAGGTTCATGTCTACAATATTATTTTGCCAAAAGTACTTATTATTGAAATTATTGATACAATATAACAAGAAATATTTTAACTTTTTTACCCATTCATAGCAAAACGCAATAGCACAAAAACTTAGTTAATTTTACTAAAAATAAGGAGAGGACTTCTCAAGAAAACTTAGTCAAATTCAAAAAAAAGATCAAACAATACATAAGTCTCACTAGAAGACTTTTCGAAAGACTTCACTATATTGAAAAGTAGATGGTCCAAACATACGATTGATGACATGTTTGATGTAAACTGAGGCATATACAAGGCAGTTGATTCTCAATCAAACAACCTAAGGTTCCATATCCCTTCTTTCTTAACATCACCATTTGCTATAAGAACATTTCCTGAGGCATGCTGGACATCACTAATCATGTGATGGCTTGCTGCTGAATCTATAATGATAGGTTTAGAGTCAAGAGAATGTGTACCAACCTTCTTGGATGAGATCAAAGCTTCATTAAGAAATGAAGGCCACTCATGGTCGCTGGACCATCAATGTTGGCCGCACTAACACTATTTCGCCATGTTCCTCCTTCCTTTGAACCAACATTGAGAGAAGAATACATGGTTTTTCCTTGAATCACTAGATACTCAAACTCCATGTTTACATTTCTGGCCAGATTCAAGTAACTTTTTCTTGGCATATTGCGCTTATTATGTTGTTCATTAGCCTTCTTATACTCTGAAAATAACACCATGTTTGAGTTCTTCCTTATGGAGAAGTGAACCAGTGGAGAATAGACTGTTCCTACTGGTTTTGAGATTAACTGGACTTCGATGAAGCTTTTCCGGATATGGTTGAAGCTTTCTTGAGTTCTAGAGATTAATGTATACTCCTTTATCTTGAGTTCTGGTGAGGTTCTTCTCTCTTGAAGACCTTTGGACCAGTGGATAAAAGGATGTATCCAACATATGTTGAAGATAATCTGAGAGAGAAATAGATTTGCGGAAGGTTTAGTGAGGTTCATGAGCTTACTTGCTCTGATACCATTTTAGATTTGTGTAAATGTGAGATGTGGTAGAAGTTTCGTTTCTGGGAAATGAAGAACAAGAGATAGAGAGATAGATTTCAAAGTGTAAGAGATAGAAGGAGATAATAATTTCCTTAGATTAATTTGTAGTCTTACAAGTGATACAAATACACAATGGAGAAGAATTTAATAAAGATTAAACTAAAGGAAAAGATCCAAGATTCAAATTCAAACACCAACGGTCGAATGGATAAGATGCAGTGGATGGGTTATCGTGGAAATGCTTGTTGTGGATGATAAGCCGTGGATGGGTTTTCGTGGATCTTATGATAAGTTGTGGATGGGTTTCCATGGATCTTCATAACAATATTCCTTGTCATTTATTTCTTCATGTTAACACTGACCAATCTCCTACCCATTGGAATGAGTATTGGATTTCTATTTCCCTGGATTGTGTGGAATATATGGTTAGCACGAAATCTAAAATTCTTTGAGAACAGAACTACTTCCCAGCCGACACCCTAGCCAAGGCAACTGAAAATGCTAGAGAATGGCAAGATACACAGCTAGCTCCCCCCTACAAAAGCAAAAGACGCCCAAATACAGCATCTTCACATCTACACCCAACGAGAATCAGTAATTATCAAAACCAACGCAACATGAAAATAAGAGTCTCGCACGGGGGATTAGCATGGATCTACTCATATAGAAATGGCAATGTTATCTCCCAGCACTGCAACACTGAAGACTGTATTAACTCACCTCAAACTGCAGAAGGTATGGCGATCCGAGAAGCTCTCCTCCAAACTCGCTCTCAGGGATACACTGATCTTACCCTGTCATACGCTCTAGAAATCATCCAAGCTATCAACAATCGAGATTCAATCAAAGAACTTTTTGGTATTCTTCAAGATATTCACAATGCCGCTTATGACTTCGATGTACCCTCTTTTATTCATGTACCAAGAACTAATAAGAGTTGGCTGATGCTCTCTCAAAAAGGGCACTACACGACCGCTACTGCACTATGTAGTTCCGAATCAAATTAAATGCATTGGACGTCAAAAAAAATTATATATATATGAAACAACATGATGTAAATGAAAGAGTTTTATCTCTTTAAAGATGAGAGATTTTTTTTATTAATTTTTCCTTTAGTGTGCTATTTTATTATTGAGAAATTTGCACTCCTACCAAAATATTTTAACGATATTTGCAAAGTACCAAAGAGAAGAAAATCGTTACTATTCACTACTGTGATTTTACTTTGCTATCCTTATCCTCTTGTCCTTCTTACCTGACCAAACCAAAAACGGGCAGACTATGGAGTTGAAATCAGAGGAGAGAGAAATACACAAGATATTATCATATCTTTTGTGTCAGTGGATTCGTGGAAGTGAACAAAGAAACTAACTAATTTCAAATAAAAGTAGTTTTGTATATCAACTCATAATTCATCGTTTCTCAAGATCCCCAATTGCTCTTTCTCAAACCAGATCAGCATATGGAGGAGCACGACGACTCCCGGAGGCCTCCGTGTCCACTCTTCGAGAGAATATTCGCCGTCGAAGAAGAACCCACCGGCGTCATGGTCACTCCATACCCCAAGACTGACGAAATCAAGCAAATCCTCAATGCACTTCACCCCGATGAAATTGAAGAGATACGAGATTCACCTTTCAAGAAATTGATTGAGATAGCTGAGAAACTGTTGTGTGATGTTGCCTTACACAACCGTAGGAAATCTATATTTTTCCTTTACATACTCAAAATCGTTGTAGCCAGCTATTATTAATTGTGACCTTATGATATATAAGAATGACTCCTACTATAAAACAGTTCCAACTAGTTAACTAACATGTGTTATAGTGTCAGACATACTATATAGCCAGCTATGAATTAATTTTAACTTCCTAAGTATATATTGACCATCCATGTAGGTTGTTAACCGTCCAAGTAGATTTTATTAAATGTTTGTTTACAATTTGGTAATGGATATGGTTTTATTTGATATTGTTGGTTAAGGGTTTAGGTGTTACTATTGCTTAGGGTTTAGGGTTTACTGTTTATGGGTTGGTATTTGGGTTTAGTTTGTATGGTTTAGGGTTTATTGTTTAGGGTTTACTGTTTATGGTTTAGGGTTTACTGTTTAGGGTTTAGGGTTTTATGTGTTGTGTTTAGAGGTTTATGCTTTATGGTTTAGGGTTTAGGGTTTCTTTTGTTTAGAATTAAAGACTTCATAATAGCAACATACAACCTCCCAAAAAAAACCCGTCAGATTACCCACAGTTAATACAAATTATTTAACCCCCAAAAACCATCTAATTGGGTTAACATTTTTCTTAAGCGTCCATTAGCCTTACATTACCCTTATTTCATAAACCATCAGCACATTAACCGTCCATGTAGGTTGTTAACTGTCCAAGTAAATTTTATCAACTGTTTGTTTACTACAGCTAGATGGGTTAACATTTTTCTTAACCGTCCATTAGACTTACATTACCCTTATTTCATAAACCATCATCACATTAACCGTCCATGTAGGTTGTTAACCGTCCAAGTAGATTTTATCAACTGTTTGTTTTCTATAGCTAGATGGGTTAACATTTTTCTTTACCGTCCATTAATCTTACATTACCTTACTTCATAAACCATCAGCAAATTAACTGTTCATGTAGATTGTTAACCGTCCAAGTTGATTTTATGCAACTCTTCGTAGTGTGAACGCAATCTTTGCGTTATCTTACCAAATCCACCAAAGATAACAATTTTGTGTCAGACTTGTTTAGATTTACAAGATTTTTGGGAAGCTGTGACTTGCCAAATTTTTTTTTGATCTTCTGCCAGAAGCTGTGACCTGAAGTTAAGAAATAATTCGGGCAGGGTGTTTATGTCTTTTTACCATCACCTGATTGAACACGTAAGCACATAGTTTTTCCTCTTTGGTATTTTGCTAATTATGCTATCTTCTTTGGTTTTCTAGCTAAATTACTCTTTATTATTTTGGGTGAATTGGCTCAATACCATAAAAGTAGAGATACCTGAGAATTTTATTTGTATTTTGTCGAAGATTTTTTTTTTAAGCCTAGAATGCATGGTGTACACACATTAACTTATCCTTTGACTAGTAGTGTAGATTATTGCTTACGCTATTATCATCATCATCCTTGTCCACTCATTTTCTATCCAACTTCTTTGTCTTGTTTTCCTTTGTGCTGAAGACAATGTGATGCTGGTATTCTCTAATCGGTCCGTTCTCCATGGCTTCAGTAAGTAAACTGATTTTGTTCTTATATTTCGATTCACGCAACAATCAAATTATTATTAGAGTAAGCAAATAAATATACATATATATATATATATATATATATATATATATATATATATAAAGACATGGATTTGAGAAAGAAAAGCTCTTTCTCCACTAAACATACCTTTTCATGTACTTTTTGCTTCTTTTCCTATGTAGGTTCAATGATATGAATACCCCAAGAGCTGCTTAAGGTAAGTTTAAGTCGTGTGATAACTTTGTGCCGGGATGGTCTTTAATGCAAGAGAGCATTACCAACAATATTAAGTATTCTAGCCAAAAAAAAAGCATTACCAACTAATTTTTTGCCAAATATAAGAATCAACCGTAGATGCTCCAAGTCCAAGATCATGGAGGATGGAACCAAGACTACACCCACTGTTTACATCAATTGCGTCGACACATTACAGTATTCCTTCGCCAGCCACCTCTCCATGGAACTCCGACGGAAAGGTATTTCTACAATATTTGTTAACTCCAACGGGGCTCTCGATGTGATAGAAGAAGCTAGCGCTTCGGTGATTATTTTCTCTAAGGACTGCTTATCTTCTGCGTCATACCTGGACAAGCTCGTTACGGTACTCCAATGGCAGAGGGAAAAAAAGATGCTGGTGGTTCCAGTCTTCTATGGCATTAGTCCATCAGACATTGTGGTGGTGCCGGAGGAGCACGGGTCAGATGATCGAATAAGAGAATGGAGTAGTGCGCTCAAAGAACTAAGAAAATTACCACCTCACCAGTCTAGGTATCCTCTTTTTACTTCAATTCTAAGATCAGAAATTAACCAATAGGAGTTGGTTTAGTGGAATACCTAGTAGAAGATTTAAGGGATCACATTGTTCAATTCTAGTTGATACTCTATGTGATAGTTAATTTAATAGATGTGGTGTTTCTGGAGATGAGAGAATTACTATTCCACCAGTCCAGGTAACTGTAGTCCTTAGGACATCTTTAATGTGATCTCAAATAAATATTTCAAATTTTAAATAATAAAAATAGAAAAGAGGAGAGAGATCGAAAAAAGTTAAGATAGTTGTTTTAAGTGAAAGTGAGAATCTCTCACAAGTAATAAATATTTCATCTTCTAGATGATGGATAATTCTAATTAACTTGAAGAGCAAATTAACTCATTAAAGTGAAGTTTAATCGGTTAAAAAAATGGAAAATATATAGAGCTTAGGATTTATGTTTTCATATTAGTATTAGGAAAAGATATAGTTTCGTCCTATATAAGAGTTCACATGCAGAGATATAACCTCAAGAAAAACACATTGATTTAGTTTTGAAATAATTTCTAAATCTAATAAGAAGAATTAGTTCTTATAATCTTTTGTGTTCTTACAACTTTAATTGGTATAAGAACTCCAGGTTTCGAAAATCGTTTACAAGAGGAGTTGTAATTCGATCAAAACATGGGAAACAATAACAATTCTCAAGCACGTGATAAAGGTCTTGAGATGAAGAACATACGATGTCTGATGCTATCATCGACCAACTACACCGTATGGTCGATGAGAATGAAAGTTATGCTTTGTTTATATGAAGTTTGGGATACGATTGATCCAAGGAGCGATGACGCAAAGAAGAACAATATGGCGATTGCTCTAATCTTTCAATCAGTCCTGGAGACGCTAATCTTCAGATAGGAGAACATGGTACATCAAAGAAGAATTGGGAAGCCATCAAACCTCGTAACCTAGGTGATGATCGCGTGAGAGAAGCGAGGTTACAGACTTTGATGTATGAGTTCGACAAAATGAAGATGGCAGATACAGACGCGGTGGATGACTACGCATGAAAACCTTCAGGCTTAGTATCGAGAGCAGCCGGCGCATTAGAAGAAATAATGGAAGAATAAAAGATGGTAAAGAAGTTTCTGAAGGGACTTCCAAGAATGAAGTCTATTCACATCGTAGCTTCGTTAGAATAAGTGATGGATCTAAATTCAACGGGATTTGAAGATATTGTTGGGAGATTGAAGGCTTTCGAAGAACGCATAAAAGAAGAAACCCAAGATGAAGATCAATCTAATCCAATGTTTGTGAACAAAGTCGTGGAAGCCATAACAATTATCGAGGATGAGGTAGAGGTTATGGTGGAAGAGGACGAGGTAGATCCAATAATTCTTATAGTCACAAAAAAGGAGGAGAAGCTTCAGACAAGACTAAGAAGGGCTATTCTAAGGTTAAATGTTGGAGATGTGAGAATATGGGGCACTTCGTGTCACATTGTCCTACACGACCAAGAAAAGAATCAAACCTAATGGAAACAAAAGAAGAAGATGCATTATATATGCATGAAGTAGTATTCCTCATTGAAGGCATAGTATTTCCTAAAAGGTTTGAAGAATGTGATGGAAATACGAGTATATGGTATCTTGACAATGGTGCAAGTAACCATATGACATGCAAGAGAGAGTTCTTCTCAAACCTAGACGAGAGCATCAAAGGAAAAGTCAAATTCAGTGATGGATCAAATGTCGATTAATGTTGGGAAAGGGTTCGATGATGTTTATCGGAAAACAGGGAAGAGAAGAGCACTCAAAGACATCTATTACATTCCTAGTCTAAAACACAACATCATAAGTCTTATACAAGCAACCGGGAAGAGTTATGAGGTTAAAATGAAAGGAGACTTGCTAATGCTAAGTGACCCCCGTGGAAAGCTATTAGCACAAGTCTCGAGATCACCAAACCGATTGTACAAGATGCCAATGGAGATTGAATATCCAAAGTGTCTTCAAAAACAAGAAACTGATGTTACATGGGCGTGGCATGCACGGCTCGGACATGTGAACTTTGGAGTCATGAAGAATATGGTAGACAATGAGATGATAGTAGGGATACCTCAGGTGATACACGAGAAAGTATCAAGAAGCACACGCATTGGAGCTGGTACACAGTGACTTGTGCGGTCCGATATCACCACCAACACCAGCAAACAATAGATATGTATTCGTCTTAATTGATGATTTCTCAAGATATATGTGTACGATGCTGCTAAGAGAGAAGAGTGAAGCATTTGATCGGTTCAAAAAGTTCAAGGAGTACATGGAGAATCAAACGAAGCTAAAACTCAAGACTTTTCGCACCGATACATCTTCTAAGGGGTATTTATATAGCACCAATTTAAAGACATATGTGTTTAAATACTAAAGATTTGTTTAATTTTTATTTGTTTTTGTGAAAAAACGGTGTAAGTGATAAGGACTTTTAGTTCCTAATTCAAATCAAAGTAGTACTTAAGATTGTCAATCCAAATCTAAGTCATCTTGAGGCAGTGAGAATACAAGCTAATACTTAAGTTAAATGCAATTAGTTTAGTGAAGTGATATGATCAATAACAATACTAAAATGCAACAAAGGAACAAGCTTTCTTTCAATAAGTGAAAATAAGATCCATGGGATTAGGTATTTGGTTTAGGTGATCAAGTTTCAATCTAAAGGTGGTAAGCTTTCAATCAAAATGTATCCTTAAGTCTAAACAACTTAATTAAGCAAGTTCTAGGTCTAGACAAATGCTCATTTCCTTAACTTAATGAAACACAAAGGTCACTCACTGGTTTAAATAATTCAAGCAATCATTAAGAGTAGGTTTAATAACTATCTACGACTTTTAGATACAAAGTTCATTGGCTAAGAAGTCTTAGAGCTAAACAAAGTTGGTTCAGTCATTTAACATACACCTTGTGAGCAGGAAATTACTAGAGATCTAGATTAAATAGGATAACAATAATCTAGCAGTAAGATCACTCAACTAGCAAGGAAACATTTAGATCTAACACTAAACACCTTAGATCTACACTTAATCATCATAATCAACCTAACCCATGAATCTAAGATGGATCTACTCACTAATAAACATGTTTACTCTTGAACCCATAATGGATCCAAGCTTAACCATGTTTAGAAAGTAATAAAACACTCAAGAACACAAGAGAGTAGATGCAAATTATATTAAAGTAGCAAACTTTCACCAATATGTTCTTGTTTTAGAGAGAGAATAAGATAAATCTCATCATTAGGGTCTAAAAAGTATTTGTAGGGTGCTTAAAAACCCTAATGGGCTCAGTCAACATGTCTGAACAGGCCCAACAAAACATAAAACCGCTTAAGAAAAAGGAACGCAGCGGCTTCATGTCGTCGCTCCAAGGGGTCACTCCGTGTTGTCGCTGCGGGTGTCGTACCCCGCTCCAGCTACCCGCTGTAATTTCCAGCTCGAATTCAAGTTTACGAACAGGTGGCTTCTCCCGCAACGCCTGGTCGCTCCACCTCCAAGCGGTTGATTTACCCCGAAACATCTGGTCGCTCCGGCCCGTCGACGGATGTGTTGAGTCCAGAGTGGGTGCTTCACCCTGCAACATCTGGTCGCTCCGGCCCGTCGACGGATGTGTTGAGTCCAGAGCGGGTGCTCTGACCCACGATGGTGCCTTGCTCTGATACACTTCTCGACTAATGATAATCTTCTACTTTTTTTAAGCCACAACACCTCTAAACACAATCAGATACTCCAAAAGGATACTCTGGCACCTGATTAAGACTTATGTATGCAAATGAAACCTAAAAGATGTCTAAATTCTAGTCTAGATGATCAAAATGCACATGATAAGTGACTAAAACAATGCAAATATGCAAGATATCAGTAACTAGACATCTCACCGCACTATATATGCTGCAACAAAACAGTGTAGTCGAGAGAAGAAACATAACACTAATGAAAATGACAAGGAGCTTGATGAAAGCAATGAAGATTCCTAATCAACTATGGGGTGAGGCAGTACGTCATTCGACGTATCTCATTAACCGCATTGCTACAAAGGCTTTGGAAATAAAACTCCGTACGAAGGCTTATTTGTTAAGAAACCAAACATTGAGCATCTAAGGGTCTTTGGGTGTGTAGCTTTAGCAAAAATCAATGCTCCACATATCGGAAAGCTTGATGATCGATCAAGGATGGTGATCAATCTCCGGACAGAGCCTGGTTCAAAATCTTATAGGCTCTATGATCCTGTCACGAAGAAGATTATTGTTAGTAGAGATGTAATCTTTGATGAGAAGACGAGTTAGAATTGGTCTATAACAACGATGACTACAAACGATGAGTTGGGAACTTTCAACCTTCCTCATACCAATATTACAGAAGAAGATCAAAACAATAACGAAGAAGAAGAAGCTGTAGATACGGGTGAACAAGAGCAAGTAGCAGAGAATAACGATGCAAACTAAGACCAGCATGTAACATTGAGATATGGCCGTAACATCAGAAAACCGAAGCGGTTCGATGATTACATTCTACTCGCTGAAGTTGAAGCTGGTAAACTCTTGCTCACCATAGATGGTGAGCCATAAGGTTACATCGAATCTGCAAAGCTACAAGCATATGTGTTAGTATACTTTCGGTTGAGTTTCCCGTAAAGTTAAGAACCACATAATTAAATAGTAATCTCAATATATATATATATATATGTGTGTGTGTGTGTGTGTGTGTGTGTATTTTGAGAACTTCGATGGTAGAACTTAGGCATGTTGTTTTTGTCCGAACCGATCAAGTCGAGCCGAACCGAAATTTTTTGATTTTCGGTTCGGTTATTGTTTTGATTTCGGTTTAGTTTGGACTGGTTTTCAAAATTGGTTCGATTATCGGTTTAATTCGTTTGTTTTTTTAATTTTTTTTTGAAAATATAAGAAAACCAAAAATAACTAAAAAAAATGTACCAAATTTAACTAAAAAAATAACTGAATTTATCTGAAATAACTGAATTTAACCAAATATATCCTATTTATTTTGGAAAACTATACCGAAAACCAAAAACCAAAAATAAAAGTAAAACCCTAAAATAACCGATAACCAAACTGAACCCAAAATTAATTCGGTTAATTTTAGAATCAATTTTCAAAATCTCGATTAACCGAAAACTGACAGTTCTTTTCGATTCGGTTTCGAAAACCCAAACTCGCAGGATTAGTACAACTCCTTGTTGAAGTGCTCTAAAAATATTATCAGCAATGAGCTCTCACAAGAGTTCTTAACCAAAAAAAATCAAAACTAAAAAATATTGTTAAAAAAAAAAGCAAGAGAGAGAAAGTGATTAACTCTATGGGAATAGTACATTCTCTCTATGCGAGCTATTAATTAAACACACATTCTTTTTTTATATGGTCAATCTTATATATTAAAACAGAAGTCACAATTTTGATTCATGTGTGGTTTATTTTAAAATGGACTATTCATTAGAAAGATTATGAAGATTATCAAATGTTACATAATATCTTTATCTTTCTATTTGAAATACAAATGAAATAAATCTAACAAAATCTTTTTGCTATCTTTTAAAATTGTATTTCCATAATATTACCCCATATCTTTATCTTTTATTTGAAATACAAATGTTTTTTATATAAAAAATTAAAATTTATCTTTATAGCACTATATATTCCTAAAACCTGAATAAAAAACTATATACTAGAGTTTGACCCACACAGATTTATCATTCTATAAATATAACACTTTGACAGTATTATAAAACCTTTAAATATATGATTTACATTTAATGTTATATATAATATAACTCTATAATTTTGTTGTTTAATTTTCTTATTTGTCATTATTGATATATACTAATCTTTTATATATTTTAATTTATATTACTATTGATTGTTATTACTTACTAATATAATTTTGAGATTGACATATAAATTATAATCTGAAATAATCAAATATATGATCTTCTTAATTTTCATACAATACATTTTAACATTTATTTAGATATACTATAGTTAAATATTTGTTAATGATAATTTATATTTTCATGTTGTGTTTAAAAATGATACTTTAACATCTATTATTTTAATATTTTTGAGATTTTATAAGTAAATATATTATTATTTATTGAATTTTTTTTGGTTATAAATTATAAATAAATAAAAAATCCGCACCACACGTGCGGGTCGAGATCTAGTATTTTTTAATTATCAAATATTTGTGTGAGAAACATGTGCTCTAGCTAATGCTGATGCTCTAACACAGATATTTCAGTTAGTTAAAAATATTTTAAAAATAGAAGTTGAGCTTGCGCTACCACATGTCTGATAGGAGAATATGTTGAATGCTTGTAAACATTGTCACTTTTGACTAAGATCCACGTGTTACATAGTGGTTGTTCATATGTTATGATTTTTATTCTTCCAATTTCGAACTCATTTATTTTAGCAATATTTTTAATAAAATATATAAAAAATTTATCAAAATTCATTATTTCTATGATCCATTAATCGAGAATAATCTTGTTTTATTAAAAAGTACTTTAAATTATAATTTTCTGTTAGTCTCTAGTAAACTTTTTGGTGTTTTTAAATTTTCATTTTTGTTAGATAGATCTTGATAATACGTATTTAATATTTAAATTTTCTATTTTTTCTTTTAGATACTCAAATCTCAACAAATCTAAAATGAATAAGAAGATGAAATAATATTACTGGATAAGGTACTGGATTTTACCATACAAACCTATTTGTAGTAGTTAAGAATAAAAGGACAGTTGATTAAAAACAGACTTTTAATAAGTCATTTTAGATAGTTTTAGATATTTTCTGGAAACTTTAAAAGAATATTTCAAGTCAAAACCATATGAGAGCGTTTGATGCAAACAGGGAAGGATGCGACGATTCTGAACTTGTAGATGAGATTGTCAAAACTGTTTATGAGAAACTCTTTCCCACGAAAAAAATTGGAATCAACTCGAGGCTGCTGGAGTTCGAAAACTTGGTAAGCAAGCAACCATGGGGTATCCGTCGGATAGGAATGTGGGGAATGCCTGGAATTGGCAAGACAACGCTTGCTAAGACAGTTTTTGACCAAATTTCTAGAAGCTACGAAGCTTCTTGTTTTATCAAACACTTTGACGAAGCTTTCCATGAGAAGGGAATTCATTCTTTGTTGGAGGAACATTTTGGGAAAACTTTGAAAGAATTGCGACGCATCCCTAGTGACAAGTTAAACGAGAAGAGAACTCTTGTTGTTCTAGACGATGTGCAGAATGCTTCAGCTGCCGAGTCTTTCCTCAGAGGGGTTCACTGGTTTAGCCCGGGAAGCCTAATAATCATAACCTCTAGAGATAAACAAGTGTACCGCCATTGTCAGATAAATCATGTGTATGAGGTTCAGAGCTTAAACGAGAAGGAGTCTCTGCAGCTATTTTCTCAGTGTGCATTTGGTAATGACACAAGATATCAAGAACTCCTGGAACTGTCAATGGAAGTGATTGACTATGCTAGTGGAAATCCATTCGCTCTCAGCTATTACGGGAAAGAGCTCCAAGGAAAGAAATTGTCCGATACGAAGATCACATTCCTCGAGCTCAAGCGACGCACGCAGGATAAGATTCATGATTTATTCAGGAGAAGCTACGACGCACTGAATGACAAGGAGAAGAACATTTTTCTGGACATTGCTTGTTTCTTCAAGGGAGAAGATGTTGATTATGTGATGCATCTGCTTGAAGGATGTGGCTTTCTTCCACATGTTGGGATCGATGTTCTTGTGGAGAAGGCTCTGGTGACTATTTCAGACAAAAGAGTGAACATGCATAATCTCATCCAAGACTTTGGCCGAGAAATCATCAGCGAGAGGCTTAGCAGACTGTGGGAACCTTGGAGCATCAAATCTCTACTTGAAGATGACGAATTCAAAGAAGAACGTGCACTGGTCAGTCATATTCTAATATATTCTATTACAGAAAAATACTTTATTAGTTAGAGCACCCCATCAGATAGAGATTCACACGTTTTTCAAAAAAAAAAAAATTAAAATAAGCAACAGTAATGAACTTGCCCCTTAAAAATTTTCTGCAGTGATCCCAGTTCATCACTGTAGGGCGGGTCCCAAGACACGTGACAACCCGCAATTGGTCTAATTTTCTTTTTTTTTGAAAAAAATTTTAAAAAAAGAAAAAAATTTATTAATAAAAAATTGTAAACGTGAATCCTAAAAAAGGTTCATTGATAGGATGCTCTTAACCAACTTATCTGCTTCTCTTATATATATTTCAGGACACTGAAGACATAGAAGGCATATATCTAGACACATCGAATTTACTCGTTGATGTGAAGCCCACTGCTTTTAATAATATTTTTGGCCTAAGGCTCCTTAAGATCTACGGTTCCAGTTACGGAAAAGATAGTGGACTTCGCCTTCCCAAAGGACTTGAGTCTCTGCCTAAAGAGCTAAGACTCCTCCACTGGGAGAACTATCCTTTGAAATCCTTGCCCCGAGACTTTGACCCATGCCACCTTGTTCAACTCAATTTGTCTTACAGTCAGCTTCATAAACTTTGGGAAGGAACTAAGGTAGGCAAACTAATTTACCCCTTTTTTATCAACTTTATTTATTACTTTTCTAATTTAATTAAGTTTCTGTTCAGAATCTCAAGATGTTGAAGATGGTTAAGCTTTGTCATTCCCAGCAGCTGACTGAGATAGACGATATATGTAAAGCTCAAAATACAAAGTTGCAGAGGTTTCCAGCCACCGATCATTTACAGCATCTCCGAGTTGTGAACCTTTCAGACTGCAAAGAGATCACAAATTTACCAGAGGTTTCATCAAATATTCAGGAGTTACATCTCGAGGGAACTAGCATAACAGAATTACCAGTATCCATTGTCTCTCTCTTCAAACAAGCTAAGTTTAACCGAGAGCTTTCCGATTTTCTAACAAAACACTCAGATGTTTCAAACGCTTTACAAGATAGCCTTGTCAGACACGTGTCATCAAACCATCATCTTGGCAAACTTGTTTTCCTGAATATGAAATATTGTTCTCATTTGAAGAGTCTACCTCAAATGGTTGATATAGATTCTCTTCAAATTCTTGATCTTTCTGGATGCTCGGAGCTAGAGTTTATCCGAGGTCTCCCATGTAGCCTGAAAGAGTTATATGTTAATGGCACTGGCATAAAAAAACTTCCGCAGCTTCCCTTGAGTCTTGAAATTTTGAATGCACATGGTTGTGTGTGTCTTATATCAATTCCTTACGATTTCAAGCGGCTTCCTAGGTTTTACACATTCACTAATTGCTTTGATGTCTCTGCATACATGGTCAGCAAATTTGTAGAAAACGCTCTGGATAATGTGGAACGCATTGCCAGAGAGTGTCAGCAGGTACCTCTCTCTCTCTCTCTCTCTCTCTCTCTCTCTCTCTCTCTCTCTCTCTCTC